GCATCGCCCCCAGCTATGATATAATCGTTTAAAAGAAAAAGAACCACATGTTTAGTGTCAACCAGATCTTCCTTATATGTCTGCTGACTGTTAGATCAGCTAAGACCATACATCTTGTAAGATTTTTCGAAGGAAATGTGACATTCTTTTGCATGCAACTAGACAATTCTTGACATGTTATCGGTGTTTTACAGATTGCATCATTCAGATTGATGCGTTATGTACACTCACATTATTATTTTTAGTGATATACTACTAGGAAATTTATTGGACTTTTGATATATATAAGTTTAGCATTAAGATGTTCCTTTCATAAATTGTTACATAAGGAAGTACTAGCATAAAGTTATTGTTTGAGTTTAAGAGCATTATCACTTGCATTCTGTTACTAGTTTGAAGTAAATGTCACAAACCAAATACAGTCTTACTAAGTCTCAGTCGACTGAGGCTTTGTTAACTCTTAGTCGATGATATATTCATGAGATTTTACATTGAAATCTGTGTATAATTTTCTTTTCAGTTTTTTTCTCGCTTGCATGTTATGCCATTGACCGAGACTTGTTAAATCCGAGTCGACAGAGACCTCACCCAAGCAAATAACTCGTCTAGCCTCTCATATCATGACACCTCAAGTCTGTTATTAGATACTACCTACTCTACAATTGTACAATTATCTTCCGTGTTGATCATCTGATTAGTATTGGTCGATGTCCGTGCTGATCTTGGCAGAACGCATGTCATACGCATTTAGGTGCGTAACCTTGATGTCTGACTCGCCGTGATTGAACACGTAGAGGCGCGCCTTGTTGCTGACGGCCTGCATCGGGTAGACCCTCGACAATATGCTCATTCTGATGTGGCCTCCGAAGCTCTCCACCATAGAGTGGTCGATCTGCGCAAAATGCACCGTAGAGCATCAATAGCTAGTTAGAAAAAAATTAGAGGCCCAGATTAAGAAAAGTACAGTCATTTCGCCCCCAAACATGCTGATATGTATTACTAGTAGCTAGGTGTAAGGTACCAAGGTTCTGAGAGGTATCTTGCCGCCGGTCTCGAGGATGTCGATGTCGATGAAGCCGGCGAAGCTTGGCTTGTAGAGGTGGTCGGCGTAGGACGACCTGGAGGGATCGTTGCACATGAGCACGATGTGCTTGCCGGCGTCGCCGTCCTTGAACACCCTGAAGAAGACCGCCACCCTTTCCTTGAGCTCGTCGGACGCAAGCACCCACAGCCCAAACGGCCCGAGCCGCCCTTGACGTCCGCGCCCCGCGCCTCGCACACCGTCTGCACGTCTGCGCCATGCCAAGCCGGATCAAATTGATCAGTCTTGTTTAGACGCACTTTTTTTTTGTTTTAATGAACATTTTTTGAATCAGAGATTTTTTTTTAGTCCGGCCAGTTCTGTAATAACACCGAAGAAGATGAGTCCAACCCACAAAAGAGCCTAACCTAGATTCTTGCAGCGGGCACAACTGAAACCGTGACAAAACATATTTGGCCTATTAACTACATTGTTTAACTTTATCAGTAGACTATATTTGATGACTGTGTGTTTTGGGTTACTCGTTTATTCCTAATGTACTTTTCGTCCTTTATTCTGAGTTATTACCACTAGTTTTTTTACTGATTTGCTCCCGTTTATTGAGAATTGTTCTCTATTTGCATCGGCTAACGCTGTTGTGACAACATATTATATGCTGCCATGGCAACTTTTTTTATTCTAGCTTGGTGCAGCAATCAGTGGTGAGCGCTAATAAGCTCCCGCCGCACATACTTTACACCGCAATGGCGTGTGTTGCAGCCTGCCCGCCATTGGTAAGGTCTCCCGCCACTGCTATGAGATTGATTACACTAGCGGGCAATTTACACCGCCCACCACTGATGCCACTTTAGCAGTGGTGGGCGGCCCAAAGAGGCTCACCCGCCACTCCTAATGTCAAACATGTATATAAGAAATGTTTCTGATATATATAAAAAAATGTAATATGTGCATGGAAAAAGTAGACATAAAAATATATGTTTACAAAAATGTTAACCATATATTTCCAAAACATGTATACAAAAAGTTATACATAAAATTCTTAAAAAGTATACAAAAAATGGTCCTCGCATATACAAAAAATATACAAAATTTATGGAAAATGTAGGCGTAAACATATATGTTGAAAAGCTTAATTATGTATTTCCAAAATGTTGAGCGTGTATATAAAAAATGTTTCTGATGCATACATAAAAACAATATAACTTCTAAAAAGAATGTGAATGATGTATTCCAAAAGCATTGAACGTGTATATAAAAAATGTTTTGATGCATACAAAAAATTTACAAAGGAAAATAAAGAAAACCAATAAAAACCAAATAATAAAAATAAAAACAAAGAAACAAACGAGAAAAGAAAAACAAGTGGAAACAAAGGAAGAAACAACGAAAATGAAAAAAAAAATGTTAAACCATGAAAGAAACAAAAAAAGGGTGAAAAAGGAAACAAAACAGGAAAAAAAACTGATGAAAACCATGAAGCTACAAAGAAAGCCGAATAACAACATCCAATGAAAACCGACAAAGAAAACAAAAAGGAAAGCCAAGAAAATTGAGAAATGATAAAAAACAATATATATTTAAAGAAAAGAAAAACCAAAGAAAATTTGTGAAAACAAGGAAAACATAAGTACAAGGAAGAAAAGAGAAAAGCAGAAGAAAACTGGTGAAGAAATACAAATCACAATGGAATACAAGGGAAAAGACATGTAAACCCAGCCTCATACAGTAAAAATGGGACAAAAGATAAACAACACAGAAAAAACTGGCCTGACCGAACGAAAGATAAACCAGAAAAATACTCGCCCAAACAGTGAAAAGTGGACAAAACGAAAATCACAAAGAGAGAAAAAAAAAACCCGCAGGAGATGCTACTGTGTTGTGCCGGCCCGCTCGTGCCGCATTTCAGGCGAGGGGATCCCATATTGTTATAAGCGACATATAGCTTCCGCGCCTATGATGCACCTAACTCCTATGAGGCACCTACCGAAAAAGGCTTTCGCCCCGCTTTATATATAAAGCACCTATGTGGCACCTTCAGCGCCTGGTACAGTGTTATTCGCAACTTGACGCACACCACCTTTTGTCCTGTGCTTGGCCCATTTACATTTTTTCATTTCTTTTTTAAACCTTCAAAAAAAATACAAGTGTGTCATGGGAGATTCAAACTCCAATACTACTCGTTTAGTCCTGGAGGCAGTAACTACTGGGCAACTAACTTGTTGTCACCTGCGCTTTTTTTTCTTCTTGTGAGAAATGTGACGATAGAAAGGAAAAAAAAGACATGCTTTCCCGTCCAAGTTTTCCCTCTATTTGGCTGTCTTCCTTCTTTTTTTGTTTCTTTTTTTAATTTTTCCTCTATTCACAAATTGTTTTTAAAATTTGTGACCTTTTAAAAATTCTGTGAACTTTTCCAAAGTTCAGGAACTACATTTTAAATCTCGTGATTTTTTCCAATATGTGATTTTTCAAATTCATGTACTTTTTCAAATTTTGTGAACATCTTTACAATTTTTGCGAACTCGCTTTAAGATTCATGAACTTTGATCAAATTTGTGAACATTTTTTATTTTTCTAATTTGCTTTTCAAATCTGTGAACTTATTTTCAAATTCATGAACATTTTTAAAAAAATTTGAACTTTGTTTTCAGTTTTGAGAGCTTTTAAAAAAAATCGAATGTTCCAGAATTGTTTTTATATTTCACTAACTTATTTTTCAAATTGATGAACATTCCTCAAATTATTATTATTATTATTTATGCAAAAAAATCATTCTTTTATGAATTTTAAAATCTGTGAACCTTTTCTAGAATGTTGATTCTTTTCTAAAAAGTGAAATAATTTTCAAATTTATGTTTTTTCAAAATTTTATGACCTTTTTTTTAAAGTCACTGGTCAACCAGTTAGCTGATCAACTAGTAAGCTGGTCAACCCGCTAGAGATATGAAGCATGTGGAACATGCGGCCCGCTCGAGCAGGAATGGAGCTTCGCATTTGTTGTGCTGTAGCAAGATGGCACTTTTGGGCCATAGCCCGCAAATGTAGGTAGTGAGCACCAGGGATCCTTTTCGGCACGTGAAACGCCGAATTGGAGCACGCTATAACCCTCACG